AAAAAAAAAAAAAAAAAAAAAAAAAAAAAATCAATGGGAAAAATATCCTCAGGTGAGGATTAAACCAAAAAAAAAAATTATGTGTATTAAAACAGCAAGTCCTGTTAGCTCTTCCTTTAAATCCAGAATCTAATTACTTCTTAATAATTCTAATAGCATTATCTAAGCCACCATCATCTTTCACCTGAACCACAGCAATTGTCTTTCAACTGGTCTCCCTGCTTCCAATCTTCCACTAGAGTCTATTTCCCAGACAGCAACAAGAGTGCTTTCAAAAAACAAACACTAGAAACCTCCCATTGCTTCTCGTTTCACTTAGAATAAATTAGAACCAGGGTTCGACATTCTCAACTGCACTTCAGTCACTATGCTCATTTTAATTCTTCACACACACCAACCCCATTCCTGACTCAGTCTTGTCTCTGCTTTTGTTTCTACCTAGTATATAGTCTTCCTCCAAATGTTCACATGACTGCCTCTTTCTCATCATTCAGATTGCTGCTTAAATGTTCTCTCTCAAAGAAGCCTCTCCTCACCACTGCATTGAAAACAGTACCCTCACAACCTCTTCCCAACAAACAATATTCTCATTTTCTCTAATCTCCTGTGCCTTCATTTTCCACATGCATTTAATTCTGTCTGAAATTATATATTTGTTTTTCTGTTCAACTCCTGTTTCTCTCCCTACAATACAAGCTCCATGAGGGGAAGGACTTTGTTTTGGTAAGTGCTGTATCCCCAGTAACCAGAATAGGCTTGGACCATGGCAGACACCTAATACATTTGTTGAGTGGGAAAAAAAAAGAATCGAATTAATTAAAAGGAATTCTAACTGGAAAGGATTAGAAGAAATACTTACATGTTTATTGCTTAATGGTCTTTTCAATAAAGAATCTCTGGAAACATGGTCTGCTGTTCTTGCCACATCTTCCAAAAACCGATAATCTAAAAATGTCAAAACAGAAAAATAAACAAACGACATATACCAATGGCCAGGAAGCATCAATCTGCTATGCATAAGATAGCTTACCACTTAGGAGATCCATTTCAGTGAACTGTTGTAATGAAACATATGCAGTTTTATCTCGAACTCCATTACATGTCAGTTCTGCTTTGTGTTTCTTTACACAGGGCAAACTGAAGAGACAAAGAGGAGGTACTTTTATACTCTGAGGTAACAATGGTACAGATAGAGGTAATAAGGCAGGAAATTATATATATATACATATACCTGCAGGAATACCGCATACAACGTGGACATCTGTACTTGGCTTCTTCTGTACCACAAGTTTCACATCTACAAAAGCCCATATGAAACTTAATCAATTATCAATTATTGATTCTACCTATTTGTTTATAAAATTTTAATCTCAATTACTCATCACAATCAGTTTACAGACACAGTCATAAAAAGTATATGCAAGTAACTATGATAAAATACTTGATAGCTGTCAAACATCATTAGACAATTCTCCTCTAGGAAACTGTCTCCAAACGACAACTACATTTACAATGTTGTTAGTGATATATAATTCAAGAAAACGTGTATTAGATTTTTTAAAAAATCATCTAACTTTTGACTTCTTTTACTACTATAATCACAGAATGAGATTATTCAATGACATTTTAACTTGTAATTCCTGGAAATCTCTTAACGATTGAGTATGTGCATATATCCAGTTCAATCCATGAGCTATGTTTAGATCTCTTACAGGCACACACACCAGTAAAAGTATGTAAGATACAGTCAAATTCAGAGAGTAGTAGTTGCATCTTTTTCCTCAACTACACACCCAACCTGGAATAGGCATCAGAATAATCTAGGAATGCTATTACCAACTATCTGCCTTCAACTGCTCTTCTAGGGTCCTGGGATACTAACAACCAAACTACAGCTACTTCTATTTCGCCTACTGTGTTATAGATAGTAAAAGTCCCAAGAATCTGATCACTCTTTTATTTCCTGTGCTGTCACGTGACCACACACTACTGGAAAATTAAATAAAAATAATGAGTATTCATAGTACACACAGAAAACTAAACAACCAGATGAGTTCAAGTGCATTTCTGTCTAATTTTAACTTAATCCACTTTGTCATTGTTGGTTTTATTGGACTTTTCCCCATCTTTCCTTTCTCAAACAAATACTGAGTCAAGAGCATAGGAAGTCAGGCCAGAATTTGGTTCAAGGGTTCTGGTCCCCAGAATTTTCATCTGACGACTGACCCACTGGACACCACCAGCCTCACATATTTTGAGTGAATTTGTGGTTACCTGACACAATCCTCCACCCCCAATTCCCTGCTCCCCACTCCCACCACTCAGGCTCCAGCGATCCAAACTCGTGCTTCATTTTCTACACCCTGCTGGTCGTGCAGTTTCCTTCACACTAGACAAGAGAGGGCTCCGCAGCTCTGTTTCCCCAGTGGGTTCTCCCCGCCTCACCTCGACATGGCCAGTTTCCGCTTCGAGCCCACAGAATCTATCTGAGGCTCTTCTTTCACCGTTGTATCCGCCAACATTTCTTTCTTCGGGAAATACTTCTCTTCTTTTACACACACTTCATCCATCATTTCCTCTTTTATGTTCTGACCCCAAAGCACCTCCTCCTGTTTTATCTCCAAGTTATCTTTCCTCTCTTCCTTCACTTCAAGCCAGTCCGCCTCCTCCTTCACCGTCACTTTCTCTTCCTTGACCGCTGCCTCATCCACCTTCTCTTCTTTGATCACCAAGCTGCTGTCCACCTCCTGCTTCACCTCCAGTGCGTCTGGTTTCTCCTCCTTCACCTCGGGCCCATCCTCCACCTCCTGCTTTATCCACTGGCTACCCCGCACACCGTCTTCCATTTCCCAAGGGTCCGTAACTTCTTGCTTCACAACCGTTAGGTTCACTGGCATTTCCTCGGCCCTCTGTCCGCTTCCTCCTTCTCCATCCCCTCTCTTCTCCGTTCCGGTCAGGCCGCTCCCGGCCTCTCCAGCGCAGGCCTCCTCCGTCCCGGCGCGGCCCGGGACTCCCTCCCTACCCGGCTCGAGCCGCAGCCGCGCCCCCTCAGCTCCACGCTGGAGGCCGCCTCCCCACGCGGCTTCATCTTCAGCAGCAAAATCCATCAGCTCACGACCCTTGGCCTCCGCTGCGCCTCTATCGTTCAATGTGGCTGGTCCACACCGATAGGTACGAGCGACGGGCGGAAGGCCGACAGCGGCCCACGTGCAAAAAAGTCACAAGCCGTGGACGCCAACCTAGTGCGTTTCTCCAGACCGTCGTAAAGCAACGCTTCCGCGCCTCGCTACTTCACGACTCGTAGAGCTCTTTACGGCTCGACGGTGGTCCGCCCCTGGTCCCGTGAGAGAATGGGGTGAGGCCACGCCCACCGCCAGTCATCCCGCCTTCGGGGCGGGGCTTTGCCAAACCC